TCAACAGTGTGGTGTTGGATAACCCCTTCACCTCTCTGTGCCTCACTTTCCTAATCTGTAACATGAATGAACATGGTTCGAAAAGTCCCCTTCAGAGGAGATATTTGATGTGAGGATTAAAGGAGATAATAGGTTTCCACAGAGATCACTGTAAATGACACATCTCTGCAGCATTAGCTGTTAGTGTGTGTGTGTTAGTGGAAGAATGTGTCATTTCATCTGTGCAGGAATGGGTGTGTGTGTGTGGAAGGCCATGGTGTTGAGTGATTGTAACTGGGAGTGAGTCTGTGTGAGTGAGTGAAGATTGTGAGTGTGTAACCCCTCACATGTTCACTGCACTTTACAGTGTACGAAGCAGCATAATAGTGCATAGTGGTTCACACGCACACTCTGGAGCCAGATTTCCTGGAGTTCAAATCCTGGACCTCTTGGTGCCTCAGTTTCCTTATCTGTAACATAAGGAAATATTAATGGGACCCTCCTCCACTTTTAGGATGATCGGGAAGATTGGATGAGTTAATTTGTATATGCCAAGTGCTTAACATAATGCCTGGTACATAGTAGGAGCTAATTAAGTGTTCACTGTTATAATTACTCGTTATTATTATTACAAAGTAGTTTGATCTTTTAGGGAGAAATAATATGTGTTGGCCTCCACTGCTTTCCTAACAACCCCACGATCTGAGTGGGACTAATTTCCTGTGACACCTAAACACACTTGGCTCTGGGAGATATCTGGGCCTCAGCCACAAAGTTAGAAAATGGCAGAGCTGGGACTCAAACTTTGGTCCTCTGATTCCAAAACCATTTGGGAGCAGGAGGAGGGCTTTGCAGATCTTCCTGGGGCCCCTGAATGCAGCTCAGGCTCCCAAGAGTGATGCAGGCAGGCAGCTCTGCTGTTTGTGAAGCCAGGGTGAGGGGCAGCAAGGGTCATGCTTAGGTAAGTGTTCTCCCGCATCCCCTCGGCCCACCTGCCCTTACTCCTTTTCTACCCAGAAAAGCAGGGTTCCTGCCCACCGATAAGAGCTAACTTCCCCCAGCTCGGCCTCTGCTACGACCAGTGCCAGGTGGACAGCCAGTGTTCTGGCCAGATGAAATGCTGCCGCAACGGCTGCGGGAGAATGTCCTGCCTCACACCCAAGTTCTGAGGTGGGTGGGAGTGGGGGCGGAGGAGAAGAGGCACATTGATGCCCAGGTGTGATGGTACCCGCAGCGGGTTGATAAGGAAGACCTGGGCAAACAGACTACTGCCCATGTATCTGTCCATTTATTTTCATTCACTCAACAAATGTTTATTGAGCATCTCTCGTGTGCTGCACACCGCTTAGGAGCTGGACTCCCGAGTGAACAAATCAGACAAAAATGTTGCTCTGATGGTGTTTATGTTCTCGTGCGTGATACAGTAAATATGCAAGTAGATTTTGTCGTATGTTAGAAGGAGATAAGTGCCATGAGAAAAGGAAGCCGGAGAATGGGGATAGGGAGTACAGGTAGTGAGGGGAAAGTGAAGAGCGGTATTGCTTTTTTTATGTGGGACAGTCAGTGAGGGCCCTACCGAGAAGGTGGCATTTGGACAAAGACTTGATGGAAATGAGGGAAGGAGCCGTGGGGATATCCAGGGAAAGTGTTGTGGGCAGAGGAGACAGCAGGTGTGAAGGCAGGAGCATCCCTGGGGCACTTCAGGAAGAGCCAGAAGGCTGGAGCCAAGCGAGCAGGGAAAGGTAATAATAAGAAGAGAGGGCAAGAGGCAAGTGGAGAGCGGGGCAGCTCATTTGGGGCCTTACAGGCCATGGTAAGGACTTTGGTCTTGACCCAGAGATGTTGCACCCTTGGAAAGGGATGTGCTCTGGTTGACTTGCTGTGTGGAGAAGAGACTGTAGAGGGGTGGGGCAAACCCAGGGAGACCCATTGGGAGGCTCCTGTGAGAGACCAGGTGAGAGATGACCTGGACCAGGATGGAAGCAGGGGAGAGAAGTGGCTGGGTCTGGAACATATGTGAAGGTAGGTGGGGCAATATTTGCTGGTGAATTGGGCTGTGAGAGAAAGAGATGATCTCCTTTGTTTAACAGACAAATAAGTCAGGAGCTGGGGGCAGGGGTGGGGTGGGGAGCAGCTGTATCCTGGGGGAGGGAACAATGGCTGGAGGGATTGGGGGGGTAGGAAGCTCTTTCATTGGTTAGTGGGAAGCAGGAGAAGAGTTAATCTTTACCTTCGCCAAAGAACTTGGCTTTGCAGAACAAACATAGCCGAGATCGGTCAACTTCAGTTCAGTTCATCAAATGTGTATTTGAAGTGTCAAGGACTTATTCTGTGGCAGGCCAGGGCTAAATTCAGCCACCTCTAGTGGCTCTGGAACTAAAAGGAAAAGATTGTGGAGCCTCCCTTCCCCATAGTTAAAAACAAAACAATACTGAGTTATAAAGTAAGAGTAAAGAAGTAAAGGGAGAAAAAAAAAAAACCCAATGAAGCCAATGCTGAGACTGCCAGTTGGGTGACCCAGCACTGGGTCACAGGCTCTGTGCTCGGTGCTGGGACAGAAAGGTGACCACTGCCCTCTCTAGAGCTTGCAGTCCAGTGGCTGAGGTGGATGGATGGAGGGCGGATCCTCCCCAAGTCTGTAGTCATTGCCTTGTGAGAGTTGTGGGAAACAGGAGGAAATGGAGGGGTGGGTGGGGGAGGATGGAGCAGAGACACAGGGAAGGCTACCTGGAGGGGTGGCCCAGAGCCAATCCTAAAAGATGAGTAAAAGGTAGGTGGTCTGGTGAAGTGCAGTGGGGAGGTTCAGGCATAGGGAACAGAATGAGCAAGAACTTGGAAGTGCCCTTTGGTTGAAATCTCTTTGTTGTCATGTGCTACATTTCACAAGAGCTCAGCAAAGGAACCTGAAGATCACTAATTCCAATGGTGCACAGATGAGGAAATGGAAGCCCAGAAAGGGGGGTGTGCTCTTTAGTGCTTCAGAGGGAACCACGGTTGCCCCAGGGCCCAGAGCTCTGCAACAATGCCAACCACCTCTTGCTTCCATGAGTGCAAACTGCATGGGTGGGCTTTGCAGTCAAGAAGACCCGGGTTCACGTTTCATCTCTGACATTTAACTGATCCTTTCTTTCACCTCCCTAAGCCACAAATATCTTCGTTTATAAAATGGGGCTTAACAGGACCTAGTTTATCCTAAGGAATGAAGGCATGGTGAAAGTTTCTGGTGGTAGAGGGATTCTTATGGAGATGAATGATCATGCCCCTCAAGAAGGCCACAGTGGTCAGATGGGACCATGATAGGCTTAGGGGTGTCCTGGGGATGGTCTGAAGCAGAGAGGATGAGTACAGAATGTGCAGAGAAATGCAAATAGAGCCCCAAGAAGGGGAGACCTTGCTGGGGTGGGGTGCAGGGTGGTGGTTGTTGGTCGAGGAATTAAGCTGCAGGTACCCTTCCCCAGTATGATGGATATTGTTGTTGATGGTGTTGTGATTTTCCTCCTCCAGCTCCAGCCACCACCAGCCTGAGGAGTGGGGAGAGGAAGTTTCTGCCTGGCCCTGCCTTTGGCTCAATCCCAGCTGCTCTCCCCTCTTTCTGGCCTCTGCCATTCCCTCCTGGGCTGACTACAGCGTCTCCCTTTTCCAACCAATAAAGTGACTGCTTTCAGCACATTCTGTTCCTGTCTCCACTTACTTGGGTTAAGGTGGGTGGGTGAGTGGAGGGGCAACCAGATCATCCAGGCACCAAGTCCAGGGAGGGACCAACTCTGAAACAAAGAACACAAATCCAGGGCTCCTCTCATGTGCTAGCACTTTCCTGGTGGATGCTCACACCAACTCTGTGAGTATGGCTTTTACCCCCCCAGGATGATGGATGAGAAAACCGAGGCTCAGAGAGGTCCTGGAATGTCTCCAAAGTCACTCAGAATCATTGCCAGGCATTTTGATAATAGTAGCAGCAGGTACTAGTGCCAGACATAGTGCTTAGGAGATTTGCTTATGAGATCTCCTGGCTCCTCAAAGCAGTCCTCAGAGAAGTTAGTAACAGACTGGGACTCCATGAGGTTACTTGCCTGTGGCCACACAGGAAAAAATGGTAATGGCAGCATCCTTTGTTGTTTAAAGATGGTAGTGTGCCTGGTTGTGGGAGGGGGGTCCAGTCCTCGGCTCCATACCTCAGATCCCTGGGCAGGCCCAAAGGCACTGGCAATGTGCCTGGTTGACCTGAGGCATGTGCCAAGAAACATGCCAAAAACATCACCTCCATGTGGGTGGCCCACCACAGCCACCACAGTAACCACGGCTGCCACAAAAGTGGCTAGATGCCACAACCACCATGAAGATGATCCACCAGCCACTGGAGTGCATTGATACAAGGAAAGTCACCAGCAGGGACTAAAGAAAAGGAGCATATTTCTCTTCACAAAGCCCATTCCAGAGTGATAGAAGAAGCATGTCCTCTATGATAATATTGGGGGACTTGAACACACCTCTTAGCATTGGACAGATCATCTAGGCAACAAATCAACAGAGTAACCATTACTCTTTCAGAGGGAGAGAAGCAATCTAGGGTTATCAGAGGCGGGAGAGGGGAGGGAGAGGGGGATAGGGAGAGATTGGACAAGGGGCATAAAGAATAAGTACGATTTGTAACAATATACATACAAGTAATATTGATTTGATCAACATATGTCAACAATGAACCCCCAAAATATGTATAATCAATTATGATTCACTAAAAATTAAAAATAAATAAGACAAAGCTGGTAAAGCATACTTTATTCAAAGAGAAGCACGGAGATAGGTATAGAGACCACTGCAACAGGATATTACAGTAGGGGAGAGAGATTGAACTCAACTCTGTTTTTAAATCAAAGTTTTGGGGCTGGCTTGCGGCTCACTTGAGAGAGTGTGGTGCTGATAACACCAAGGCCACGGGTTCGGATCCCATATAGCGATGGCCGGTTAGCTCACTTGGGAGAGCGTGGTGCTGACAACAAGAAAAGGGTTAAGATCACCTTACCGGTCATCTTTTAAAAATAAATAAAACAAAGTTTTATTTTATATAAATAGTATAGCCATACAGATCAATATTCAAAAGATTTTTTTAAAAGTGTACTGTCTGCATGCCGTCCCTCCTCCAACCAGCACCCACGCCACACAGTCTGGTCACTCATGCTGCTCTTTTCCATGAGCCTACAGGTGACCACAGAATCCTCAACATGGGGCTCCAGGCAGCTGCTACAGTTACCCATTGACTGGGGTTGACAGGCAACTTACTACTCTGATTTAACTCAAGCAGTGCTAGCTGTGGAATATCAGACCTGGTGGTTGAGGTTTTTCTGAGTGAGAAGACTGCACAGGGGCACCCTGAGTGGGGGTCCAAGGGAGATGGAACCTCAGGCCCTTACCAGAACCTTAAGGGGGGTGGGAATTTTTCAAGGGGCCCTGACCCATGGGCCTCCTGGGATAGAGGTGGTGGAGGTGACCAAGGATTCCAGTAATGCCAGGAAAGGAGACCTGAGGGGTGTGATGGGGCAGATGAGAAAATGGGTTAGATGAGGACAGGAGGAGCCTCTGGCCTAGAAACTTCCTTCTTTTTCCTTCCCTTCCCCCCACCCCATGGCCTTTTTCTCTTTGTTCGTTTTTAGCTGCTTGATAAACAAGTTTATTGTCTTTATCTGAAAAGTCATCATAGAAAGTTGTCTGGTTAACTCTCAGCTGCCCGCTCCTAAGCTCTGAGGAAGCTTGCCTTCTTCTGAGCGACCCGACCCTTGTTCTGGGTGAGGGACACCTTGGGATGGTCCCACCTCTTCTCTTTAACTTCTTTCTTGGGCTTCTTCTCATAGACTGGATTGTCTGATATGGCAGCATGAGCTTTCCTTATACACTTGCTCCATCATGTGTGGAGTTACGTTGTTTATGTGTTGAGAAGATTGTTTCTTGTAAACACGTTCATCTTCTTCCTTTAGGTAATAATGCACATACTCTGTAATGTGCTGACCTGTGATGTGCTTCTGAGGTGCTTCAGCATTCAATTCCTTGCTTTCTGAATCATAACCAGGGAATTGTTTTGTACTGTGAGGGAAAGACTAGCCTCAATCCACAGCTCCCTTCAAGGCCCCCAAAACTTTATTTCCAGTGGTAGTTCTGGCAAGGTCTGCATCCAAAGAGCAGGTGAAGGCACAAGTTGACCACTAATGCTTACTACACCGTATTACTACAGTCACCTACGCTTGACCTTCATAGATTTTATCCATGCCAAACCTACTGAGAATCCTGCAGACCAGCAGCAGGCCAGTACAATATGCTGCAGTATAACTTGTCTGGCTAACCTTCACACCATGCTTTGAGAGTTCCTAAGAATACGTTGTGCAGACTACCATATCCCCTTCTACACAGGCAAAAACAGCCTGACAAATGATATTTCTGTTGGTTACACAGACTATCATCCTGTGTTTGGGAGTGTTGCACTTATTTCTATCCTAGGTTACCAAGCATTTATGAGCATAAGTAATCAGTTTTACCTTCTTGTGTTCTAAATTCCACTTGGTATCTCTTAAACCAGGCTTTATTCTTGACAATTTAACAAACCCCATCCTGTTGAACACAGACCCACATCCACAGCTTGACACAGATCTGCAGGTTCAGCAGCGCTACTGGGGAAAAACCCTAGGACCTTTTTTTCTTTTGGATCAACTTTTTTAAAAAAATGAAACATAATTGGTTATACATTTTCTGGGATACAGAGTTGACTATCAATATTTGTGTACAATATGTGATGATTAAATCAGAATAATTAGCATATTCATCTTTACTAAACTTAATAATTGTGTTCATTAACCAATTTCTCCCTAAACTTCCTCCCCCTGCCTCTTTCCTACCTCTAGTAACCATAGTTCTGTTCTCTCATTCTGGAAGGTCAACATATTATTGTGCTTGATTACTTCCTTCCTTCCTTCCTTCCTTCCTTCCTTCCTTCCTTCCTTCCTTCCTTCCTTCCTTCCTTCCTTCTTTTGTAGCTCCCACTTATGAGCAAGGACATGCAGTATTTCTCTTTCTGTGTTTGGCTTATTTCTCTTAACATAACTTTCTCCAAACTCATCTATGTTGCTGCAAATGGCAGAATTTCATTCTTTTTCATGGGTGAATAGTATTCCATTGTGCATATATACCACATTTTCTTTATCCAGTCATCCATTGATGGACATTTAGGTGGGTTCCATATCTCGGCTATTGTTAATAGAGTTGCAATAAACATGGTAGTGAAGGTATCCCATCAACTTGATGATTTCCATTCCTTTGGGTATATACCCAGTAGTGGGATTGCTGGATTGTATGGTAGTTTTAACTATAGTTGTTTGAGAAAGCTCCATACTGTTTTCCATAGTGGCTGCGCTAATTTATATGCCTACCAACAGTGTAGAAGGGTTCTCCTTTCTATGCATCCTTGCCAGCATTTGTTATTCGGTCTTTTTGATAATAACCAGTATAACTGGGGCAAGATGATATCTCAATGTGGTTTTGATTTTCATTTCCCTGATGATTAGTGATGTTGAGCCTTTTTTCATGTACCTGTTGTCCATTTGTATGTCTTCCTTTGAGAAATGTCTATCCAGTTCCTTTGCCCATTTTAAAAACTGGATTATTTATTTTTTACAGTGAAGTTGTTTGAGATCCTTGTATATTCTGGATATTAATTCCTTGTTGGATATATCGTTTACCAATATTTTGTCCCATTCTGTAGATTGTCTTTCTGGTCTGTTGATTGGTCCCTTTGCTGTGCAGAAGCTTTTTAGTCTTATATAATCCTATTTGTTTATTTTTTCTTTTGTTGCCTGTGCTTTTGGGGTCATATTCATAGAGTCTTTGCCCAGTCTTACATCCGGAAGTGTTTCTCCTGTTTTCTTTTAGGAGTTTTATAGTTTCAAGTCTTATATTTAAGTCCTTAGTCTTTGATTTTGGTATACAATAAGAGGTATGGGTCTAGTTTCATTTCCCTACATACAGATATCCAGTTTTCCCAACATCCTTAGTCCATTTTGAGTTGATTTTGGAATACAATAAGAGGTATGGGTCTAGTTTCATTTCCCTACATACAGATATCCAGTTTTCCCAACACCGTTTATTGAAGAGGCTGTCCTTTCCCCAATGTATCTTCTTGGTGACTTTGTCAAAGATAAGTTGACTATAAGTAGTGGGTTGACTTATGTTTTCTGTACTCTGTTCCATTGGCCTATTTGTCTGTTTTTAGGCCAGTACCATGCTGTTTTGGTTCCTGTAGCTTTGTGTTATAACTTGAAGTCCATTAGTATAATGCCTCTGGCTTTTATTCATTTATTTTTGCTTAGGATTGCTTTGGCTATTTGGCATCTTTTATTGTTCCATATAAATATTTGGATTGTTTTTTTCTATTTCTGTGAAGAAAGTCATTGCTATTTTGATGGGGATTGCATTCAATCTGTAGATTGCTTTGGGTAGTAGGAACATTTTCACAATATTAATTCTTCCGATCCATGAACATGGTATGTCTTTCCATGTTTTTGTCTTCTCTTTAATTTCTTTTGGCAGTGATTTGTAGTTCTGATTGTGGAAATAATTCACCTCCATGGTTAAATTTATTCCTAGGTATTTTATTTTTTTGGTAGTTACTGTAAATGTGCTTGGTTTCT